AATGAGGGGCAGGCTAATAAGTGGGTGGAATGTTTGGGTGTTTTCTGGAAATGGGCAGAATTTTTCTGGGAATTTGGGCACTGCCTCTCTTTGACCTTTTATGGTTCTTTTTTCCAGTTATCGTCAAGGCAATATTATCCACTGATATGGCACTGAGGGTTGTGTCATTTCATGTGCAGATGGAATTATAAATTAAACTGTTTCAAAAGCAATCACCTTCTTCAACCTAACCAGTCTAGGCTAACCATCTGAAAAGGGCTTCCGGAATCTACACATCCTGTCCTCAGAGATAAACATAATCAGCGTGGGTAAAGACTCAGCTACACCTCCTTAGCAGTATTCAGGGAAGTACACCCCGATCCCTCAAATTCTGGGATGATTGATTGGTTGATTGATTGATTTGGGGGCAGGGCACAGTGTGCTTATTGAAGTACAAGGGAAATATTCAGAAGTTGTTTCTCTGCTTCTACCATGTGAATTCCAAGGATGAAGCTCAGGCCAACCTAATTATTGTGCCATACAGATCCGGGGAACAAAAATGCCTCTGATCTGCAAGTCCCTTGCCCAAGGATAGATAGATAGTTCCTGAAATGCTGGAGGCTACTGTTTATTGGAGAGAACAAGCCACATGTTTTCACTCTCTAAACAAGTTTGTTTGACCCATCTTTACCAGATGTACATGTGGGCAGGAGGTTCACAGTCAGGAAATATGTCAGGAAATATGTTTGTCCCTTTTTGGACCTGAGGAGAAATGCAATGAATTATGGGTTTTCCTTCTTAAGCCCTTGCCATACTTGATTCTGGGCCATTTCCCAGGAACCTCCATATGAACCTGGCCAGAGCCCATCCACCTGACCAGTATTTAATTAAAGCTTGCTTCAAATTTGGCTTTAAACTATGGTGGTGGTCTTATTCTCGATCCGTAGGATTAACAGGCCCCACACTCAACATGGTCAAGAGATCAAGGGATAGCTTTGGCCCCAGTTGGCCATGGGCCTTGTTTTCTACACAGCTCTCCTATTCGAGGGCCATTTTCCTTTCATGGTGTAAGAATGGAAAAACAGCCTAACAACCCCAGGAAGCTAGAAATTTAAACCTTAAATTCCAGACCCTGCCCTCAGCCAGTAAATAGGCAAAAGGTCACATTCTTTGCTGTGAGTACGTGAGCTTTGTCGCCCCACCCAGGAACCTGCAAGAATGCAAACCTCCAGGGCTATAGGAAACTGATTGGTCTATAAAGCGCAGGCTTGGGTGGTTTAAATTGATTGGTCTACACCGCTCGGGCTCTGGATGCTATGAGATGATTGGTTTAAGATGTGCGTGCTTTGTTGTAATCCTATAAAAGCTATCTTACTTCCGGCCCTGGTAGTGGCCTAGCCCTCTGCCCCTGCATGATGCATAACTGTGGACCCCAGTGCACTTGGAATATAAAAGACCTCATGTTTTTACTTCAAGACCACTTCTCATGAGTGATTTGGGGGGGAGGGCTTTCCTGAGTCAGGGTGTGAGGGTCCACGCTCCAATCTCTGCGGGTCTTTCAATGGTTTTGTTTGTTTGCTTTGTATTTTTGAGATAGGGTCTCATATAGCCCAGGCTGACTCCAAACTAACTGTGAAGCCTGTGCTAACCTTCAGTTTGCTGATTCTACTCCTAAACATTGAGATGTTAGTGTTTGACACCATGCCTGACTTATATACTAGTGGGGATCTAACCCAGAGCATGGTGCATGTTGGACAAACACTCCACAACTGGACTTAATCTCTATCCTCAGATCCTCAGGGAAGGTTTTTGTTTGCTTGCTTGCTTATTTTTGTTTTGTTGTTGTTGTTTGGTCGATTTTTTATGTTTTAAAAATTAGTGTGTACCAGGCTTTTTCTTTTAGGTCACCAACCAGCTCCCAAAATCATGACATAGACACTTACTATTCATTATGAATGCTCTGCCTTAATCTGTTTCTCTTTATCTGTGTTTTTCCTCAGGGCTTTTTACCTTCTTTTCTTTCTGTCTGTATGTATATCTTACTTTGCTGCTGTCTCTATGTCTGTTTGGCTGGTGGCTGCCTGGTTGGCCCCAGGCATCTCCCTCTTTCTTTTTTTATTCTCTCCTCCCCCTTCTTGTTCCTCTGTTCTCTAGATTACTCCTCCTACTTATTCTCTCTGACAACCAGCCCCACCTGTCCCTCTTCTGCCTAGCCACTGGTTATTTGTTAGACCAATCAGGTTCCTTAGGCAGGCAAGGTGAAACAAATGCAACACATCTTTACATAATTAAACACATGCAGCATTAACAAACATAACACATCTTTACACAGTTAAAGTAATATTCCACAACAGTGTGTATGTGTGTGTGCGCGCCCAATGTGTATGAGGCCTGGAGAGGGGTGTATGCACACTAGCCATGACACAAATGTGGAAGTCACATGACATTTTGTAGAGTCAGCTGTTCCTCCTTTACATTGAGTTCTAGGGATTAAACTCAGGTCCAAGTTTTGAGCAGCCTTTACACTTGAGTCACCTCCCTAGTCCCAAAGCAGTGTTTATCAGAAAATGTTCCCTGACAGTTGGAGACACTTCTGGTTGGGTGCTGTCTGGGAGCTGTTGGTCATGCTGGCCACTGAAACAAGTGTGGAAAAGCTCCTGTGGCTGATGGATGGGTCACAGTAGTGTTTTCTCTAGGCTTGGTGGTACACACCTGTACTCTAGTCACTAAGGATCATAAATCCAAGGCCAGCCTGGGTTATATACTGAATTCCAGACTAGCCTGGGTCACATAGTAAGCACCTGCCCAGGAAGTTACTGGGCAGGTGGATTGTATCAGTGTGTATAGGCACTTGCCACCAAGCCTGCTGGCCTGAACTTGGTTCCTAGGACTTTCGTGGTAGAAAGAGAGAACCAAACCATGAAAACTCCACACTCACAACATGGCAATCACACTCGGTTACACAAGTACATGCACACAAAATAGATAAATAAATTAAAATTTAACTAAAAAATACCCTATGAATTAAAAAAAAATGTTAAAGCAGTGATCTTTTTACCAGGCAAATTCTACGTTAAACATTTTACTCATGATAGAAATTACTGTTGTGCAATATTAGTTTAAGATGTGTTATATTCATTTATGCTGTAGAATATTTGTTTAATGATGCAGAGCTGTGTTGCATTCTTTTATGTTGTGTTTATCTCTGTGAAGCTGTGTTACTGTGCCTGTCTAAAACACCTGATTGGTCTAAAGAACTGAACATCTAACAGCAAGGCAGGAAAGGATAGGAAGGACTGGCAGGCAGAGAGAATAAATAGGAGGAAAAGGAATAATGAGAAAAGAAGGAGAGGAAGACACCAGAGGCAGCCACCCAGCTGCCCAGCCAACCATAGAGTAAGAAGGAAAGAGAGGTATATAGAATAGAGAATGGTAAAGGCCCAGAGGTAAAAGGTAGATGGGATAATTTAAGAAAAGCTGGCTAGAAACAAGTCAAGCAAAGACCAGGCATTCCTAAGTAGGAATAAGTCTCCTTGTATTTATCTAAGAATTGGGTGGTGGGACCCCAAATCAGAAAGAATCGGGGGGGGAGGGGGAAAGCAACCACAAATTATCAAGGCCATGCCCTAACTCTAGTGACCAAAAAGCCCCATGGATGTTGTGGCAGTTTGAAGGGAAATGGCCCCCAAAGGAAGTGGCACTATTAGGAGGTGTGGCTTTGTTGGAGTAGTTATGGCCGTGTTGGAGGAAGTGTGTCACTGTGGGGGTGGGCTTTGAGGTCTATGCTCAAGCTACTCCCAGTGAGACAGATCACTTCCTATTGCTTACAAGATGTAGTGGAAGACCCGCAGAGCTTGGACCCTCATGCCCCAACTCAGGAAAGCCCCCCCACACACACACACACACATCACTCACCACAGGAAACGATCTTGATGTAAAAGCATGAGGTCTTTTATATTCTAAGTGCACTGGGGTCCACAGTCATGTGCCACGCAGGGGTAGAGGACTGAGACCCCCAGCACAGCATTGAGACAGTTTTTATAGCCCGTGCATTGTAAACCAATCATCTCATAGCATCCAGAGCCCGTGCGGTGACAACCAATCAATTTAAACCATCCAAGCACGCGCTTTATAGACCAATCAGTTTTCTATAGCCCCGGAGGTTTGAATTCTTGGGATTTGCATTCTTGCGGGCTCCTGGGTGGGGTGACAAAGCTCATGTACTCACAGGTCCTGTAGTAAACAGGAAAGAATGTGACCTTTTGCCTAGTTGCCAGCAGGGAACTGGGTTTGGAATTTAAGGTATTTAGGGCTTTTTCTTTTTTTCTTTCTTTTTTTCTTTTCTTTTTTTGACTTCTAGTTTTCTGTGGTCATGGGAGAGTTAGGCTGTATTTCTTCATCCTTTCATTCCCCACTTCTTTTCTTGTTACTAGTTCTAATCTTAGAACTGGGAGGACTAAAGGGCAGCCTCCTCTTTGCCTGGAAGGCTCTTGTACTGTTGTCTAGGTACCATGATCTGGACCGCACTCACTCGCTCCCCCTGCAGCAATTCCCACACCCAAGAGGAGAATAAGAGTCAGTGTGGTTAGTGGTTCCCTCTTCTGTTGGGTCAACCTGCCTCCGTAAACTGAATGGAGTCACCTGGTTGAAGAAGCAAGTCCCATACGATGGAGCTTAAGTTTAAGGGGATTCTCAGTCTTTTGGCTCTCCATTGAGGATCGTGGGTGGCGCTGGTTTGACATGGGAGGCATGGATCCAGGTGGGGATTCCTTCGACTTTCACTGCCGTTGGTGTGGTCAGGAGCACAAGATATGGGCCTTTCCATCGAGTCTCCAGGCTTTCTGCACGTAGACTGAATCTCCAACTTGGAATCGATGTAGGACTTGCAAGTCTCCTTTTGCTGAGTATGCCTCCCGGAGCTGTTTCCATGCTCGCTGTCTCACCCATTCGAGTGCCTTGAGCCTAGCGAACAGAGGCTGGGAGAACAGCACATCAGCACTATGTACAGAGGCAATTTCTACCAGTGAAGGAGCCCACCCCCATAGAGCCATTCATAGGGGGTCAGGCCCAAACGGTTCAGGGGTGTTTCTAACCCTGAAAAGCACAAAGGGTAGGAGAACTATCTGATCATTAATGCAGTCTCTGCGGTCAATTTAGTGAGGGTCTATTTAATGGTTCTATTCATCCTTTCTACTTGCCCTGAGCTTTTGGGTCCGTATACACGATGTAATTTCCAATCAACCCCCAACCCCTGGCTTACCTGGGCAACAAAATCTGGACCATTGTCTGATCCTAGTACCTTAGGTATTCCAAATCTCGGGAAGATTTCCTCCAATATTTTCTTAGCCACTATGGTTGAGGTCTCCTTCTTGGTAGGGTAAGCCTCTACCCATCCTGAAAAGGTGTCTATAAAAACTAGTAAATACTTGTTACCATACTTGGCTGGCTTTACCTCTATGATGTCCATTTCCCAGTGAGCGCCTGGATGGCTTCCCCTTAGTCTCTTCCCAGGAGGCATTCTTGAAGGATTAGCATTAATCAGCTGACAAGGCACACAATGTTTTACCACTGAGTAAGCCACCCCCAATAGTCTCAGAACATGATAAGGGGATGTTTTAACCAGTTTCTGTAGATGTTTAGTCCCTAGGTGGGTTAGACAATGTATCTGCTGGATGTATTCTAACCCTTCTATGTAGGGTAAAATCTCCTTCCCATGTGATATATAACAAGTCCCCTCTGGGGTCTCATCAAACCCGTCTAATTTCTTTATTTCCTGCCAGTCTTACAGAGTATACTATTGTCCGAGTTCTAGGGTTTTGGACCTCTCTACTACAGGCAGCAGGTTGACACCCTGGGCTGCCTGCTTGGCTATCTGGTTAGCCATCTGATTCCCTTTTGAGATGAAATCTTTGGCCTTTTGGTGTCCAAGGCAATGTATAATGGCCACTCTTTTTGGCAGATGTAAGGTTTCTAGCAAGCTTAGAATTTCTTCTTTGTTTTTTTACTTCCTTCCCTGCTGAAGTAAGCAGCCCCCTTTGTTTATAGATAGCCCCGTGCACATGTGCAGTTGCAAAAGTATACCTGCTGTCCCTGTAGATGTTTATGGATTTCCCTTTGGCCAGCTGCAAGGCTTGTGTTAGGGCCACGAGCTCAGCTTTTTGTGCTGAGGTTCCTTCTGGCAGTCTGCTGGCCCAAACAGTGAAGGTTCCATCCACCACTTCTACCCCAGCCATTCTTTTACCTTTTACCATGTAACTACTCCCATCAGTGAACCAGGTCAATGCCTCCCCAGCCAACGGGATGTCCGTAAGATCTTTGCGAACCCCAGTCTCTTCAAACAGCAGTTGATGGCAGTCATAAGTTCATCAGTCTCCTCAGACAGAAGAGTGGCAGGGTTGAGGGTGGCTGGTGGAGCGAACGTAATCCTCTCGGTGAGAAGCAGGCTTTGGTAGTGAGTCATGCGGGCATTGGTCATCCATCAGTCTGGGGGCTGCCGGACAATGCTCTCCAGTGCATGGGGGGCTATTATAGTTACTTTCTGCCCCAAAGTCAGCTTGTCAGCGTCTTTGACCAGTACAGCCATGGCCGCGATAGCTTTTAGATAGCCAGGCCATCCACTGACTACAGAATCAAGCTTTTTTGACAGGTAAGTACCTGGTCTGTTCCATGGCCCTAGGGATTGAGTTAAAACCCCGTGGGCTACCCCCTTACGCTTGTCCACATAGAGGGTAAAAGGTTTAGTTACATCAGGGAGAGCTAGAGCAGGTGCGCTCAGCAGGGCCTTTTTAATGGCATCAAATGCCTCCTGATGCCCTGGGGCCCAAGAGAATTTTTCTTTTTCTTTAGTCAGTGGGTAGAGTGGAGCTGCTAAGGTCTGAACCTCGGGATCCATAGCCTGCAAAACCCAGCTGTCCCCAGAAAGTCTCTCACTTGCCTGGCCATGGTTGGGGCTGGTATCTGAACTATGGTTTTCTTCTGAGCCTCTGTCAGCCATCATTGCCTGTCCTTTAGGCTGTACCCCAGGTACTTTACCTCTCTTCTGCAGATCTGGGCCTTTTTGGCAGAGGCTCGATAGCCTAGGTCAGACAGTTCCAGCAGTAGTGCCTTTGTTCCTTCCAAGCAATCATGTTGGGTGGCTCCTGCTAGAAGTAGGTCATCCACGTACTGGAGGAGGGTCACCTGGGGGTGTTGGATCCTGAAGCTGGCCAGATCTTATGGAGGACCTCATCAAAGATGGTCAGGGAGTTTTTAAACCTTTGGGGCAGTCGGGTCTAGGTGAGCTGACCGGTTCTGTCTGTGCCGGGGTCCCTCCACTAAAGGCAAAAAAGGGTTGGCTGGTAGGATGTAACCTCAGGCAGAAGAAGGCATCTTTTAGGTCTAATATGGTGTACCATCTCCACTCAGGTGGGAGGGCACTCAGGAGGTTATAAGGGTTTGGGACAGTTAGATGTATGTCCTGCGCCCTTTTATTGACCTCTCTCAAGTCCTGCACCGGCCGATAATCATTGGTCCCAGGATTTCTAATGGGTAGCAAGGGAGTGTTCCAGGGAGACTGAACAGGAACCAGGATGTCTTACTGGATCAGTCTTTGGATATGGGGTCAAATTCCTTCCCAAGCCTCTCTACTCATGGGGTACTGCCTAACTGATACTACTGACACTGGTGTAGCACTAGTTTTCAGCTGAATAACCTGTGGAGGCACTTGTTTCGCCAGACCCATTCCGGATAATTCAGCCCAAGCTAAGGGAGTATGGGCAAAACACCAGTCCATATTGGAGGTTCCAGCCCCACCTGAATAGTCGAGGTCAAGCCCTGGCTCCTCGTGCAGTCTGTACTCATCTTCTAGCCTAACAGTAAGGACTTGCAATTGATTTCCCTGTTTATCGGTTACTGATGGCTGTTCAGAGTCTAAATTAATCTGGGCTCCTACTTTTGACAGAATGTCTCTTCCTAACAGAGGGTAAGGGCATTCTGGGATAACCAGGAATGAGTGGGATACCCAGCCCACGCCAAGGTCCACTGTTCTTCGGGTAGTCCATGAATACTGCCGTTGCCCTGTGGCAACCATTACCCAGGATTTTTTCTTTTAATGTTCCCAATGGCTGTATCAGTACAGAATGTTCTGCTCCGGTATCCACTAAAAAGTCAACTGGTCGCCCCTCCAATTTCAAAGTTATCCTGAGCTCGGGGAGGGGTCCAAACCCCATCTTCCCTAATCTTCATCTTCCCCCAGGGCTAGCACCTTTGATCCCCTGTTTCTCTTCTTGGGGCCGTCCTTTGCCCAATGCCCTCTTTCGTTACAATATGCACATTGGTCCTTGTCGAGTGGGGTCCTGTTGCCCAGGTTTCCTGACTGCCTAGGACCTGCTCTAAGCTCTAAATTTTCTAATTTCTCTCTCTCTCTCTCTCTCTCTCTCTCTCTCTCTCTCTCTCTCTCTCTCCACCATTTCTTCTTTCAACCACTGTGGCCAAGATTTTAGTCAAATTTTTTTCCTGTCTTTTGTCACGATTCTCTCTCTTCTTTCTTCTTCTCTTTTCTCTGTTCCTTTTCTTCCTCTGTCTCCCTTCTATAATACACTTTCTCTGCCTCTTTCACTAAATCACACAACTCAGCTTCCTGTAATCCTTCCAGTCTCTGGAGTTTTTTTCTAATATCCGGAGCTGATTGCCCTATAAAGGCCAGCGTCACCAAAGCTCTCTGGGCTTCTGAGGTAGGGTCAAAGGGAGTGAACCACCTGAAGGCCTCCATGAGCCTTTCAAGAAACACTGAGGGAGGTTCAGTTGGTCACCTGTCTCACCTTAGCCAAATTGGTGGGCCACCTCACGGTGCCTCGGACACCCGCCACCAGAGCCTGGCGATAGACTTTCAAGCTCTCCCTACCTTCGGCAGTGTTGAAATCCCAGCTGGGGCGAGCCAAGGGGAATCCCGCGTCAATCTCATCGTTTTGCAGCTGCATGGGCCGCCCGTCGGCCCCAGGAACATTTTTTCTGGCCTTTAACAGAATTCTCTCCCACTCCTCAGTTGTGAAGAGCGTTTGCAGGAGTTGCTGACAGTCATCCCAAGGAGGCCGATGAGAAAATATAAGAGACTCCACCAACCCCGTGAGGCTGACCTTCCCTGTCATCTTTCATTTTTTGATGACTGTTCACACCACTTCCCAGATTTTCCACTGTGCAGCAGGGTGGGGACCCTCCCAAGCCTGGTGAGTTTGGAGGACTGCAATGGGTGGGAATGCCTGAGACAAACACACATGTTAAGGTCCTTCTCCTATCCTGTGGCAGACAAGGAGGCTTTGGGCAGTCATTGGATGACTGTTCCATCAAGGTGGAAACCTGGCTCCAAGGAAGGCAAGCCACAACTTAGTTCTTGCATGTGCCTACTAGATGCTGCTGGGACCCTATCCAAGTGGATCTCCATGGTGATTGGTATTATAATATGGCCCTAGGGGGACCTTGGCAGATTCCATGGTGGATGAGGGACAAACACTCACAGACAGAGCATAAGCAGAAAGTTTTATTGGGGAAAGGGAAGGGAGTGAAGAAAGGGAAGGGAGAGGGAGGAGAGAAGAGAAAGAAGGGGAGACAGACAGAAAGAAAGAAGAAGGGAAAGAGGAGAATCAGAAAAGGTCCTGTCTGCCCCTTCAGAGGAACAGTGGGAAGGCTAGCAGAAGTGAGTGGAATTTTTCTCTTAAAGGGCCCTTTGCACCTGCAAACAGACTTTGTAGTGATGTAGCAACTCTAGGACCCTGCGCTGATGGGAGATGCCATTATGTATATATGTTTCTCATACTGGTTAATAGTAAAGCACTGTTGGCCAATAGGAAAGGAAGATAGGAGGGACTAGGAGACAAGGAGGAAATAGGAAGTAGGAAGGAGGAGTCAAGATGGAGAGTCTGGAGAGAGCAGTATGCGGCAGCCGGCTCCCGGTAAGAAGAACACGTGGACATACATAGATTAACACAAATGGGTTAATAACTAAGGCAGAGCTAGCCAATAAGAAACTAGTACCTGGCCAATAGCA